GCCTCCAGGGCAACGAGAAGGACGAAGACGACGATGAGGATGTCGAGATGAAGGACTAGATCCAGGGGGGATTGCTGTTTGGCGCGTCGCGGTACTGTCTCCGATGCATCTGATATCTGCCACGGCCACAAGTAAACTTCCCTCTGCTTTCAGGCTCCCTATTTACCTCCGCGCCCGCTTTGAACATTGTTTTTTATTCCTTGTGATTGATCCTTTAGTTTTAGAAGCCGACGAAATAAGCACCCTCCCTCTTTCTCAGCGCCCGACCCCACATTCATTTATCCTCGTTCTCGTGTTCGATCCTGCTTCTCACAGTTGCTGCAATCCCAAATACAAATGACGAGTTATTTCCCAGACCTCACTTTGCGAGATGAGTGTGATGACTTCCATCGCCAGCGCAGGAATCCCTCCAAACACCGCCGCCTTTTCACTTCGCCCTGCCTCTTTTGCCCCATCTGCCTAATCCCGACGCATGCACATCCGGCTTTCAATGTTTCATTCATGTTCCCTGGTAACCGATGGCCAAAAAACCACATTGGCAATACTTCCGTCTCCCACAAAACGTCAAAACATCGGTATCCACCCAACACCCTCCACGCTCGTCGCTCGCGTGCTCTGCGTATCCCGAGCCGGTGCCATGACAGACATATGTACACATATGTCTGCGTGGGGATTCATGATGCAAATGGGCCATAGTCTGCACTTTCTGTGTTCATAAGTGCTTCTTGATCCCCGACACATTATCCTCCGCTGTACACGGCCACCAGTTCCTGACCCTGCGCATCCGATGTCAATACGGCAATACGGCGTGCATATTCAACCATAATGCACAACTAATCATGCATGAATGTCAAGATGTCATGTAGTCAGTGCCCAGCCATCCCCGCGGGGACTTTTGCGCGCAGGCGCCAAATACTAAATCCAGCAGAATCTGAGGCTTCGAGCTGAGTTGGACCGTGGACGCGCCACGACATCCGACAGCTGTAGGACGCGATGCATATGTTAGCTCGCGTCTTCGATCGTGATTTCGCGCATCGTAGCGGGAGCCCAGCCTCAGGAACAGGCTGGCAGTGGCTGGACCCTGCGCCTCAATTGAGTTGCGGACCTTCTACGACTGATAAATTTCAAAGTTACTTACTATTAATATTGCGGCTTTGAATGCCACCTGACCTGTGACGGACCGTTGGCCGTTGAGGTCATGGAGACCGTCGAGGTTGTGCACTAACGGAATCACTGCCTCGGCACCTTGTTGCTGATCATCAGCTCGGTATTTATCTGTAAAAAACAAATAATAGCTCAGCACACTCGCTCTGGCGCGTACCTGATATTTCAGAGCGCACGTTTATGCGTACTTTGCCTCCGTAGTCTCGGAGCCGTTGATGTCATGAGCATTGCTCTTCTGGTCGCCGCCGAGCGCGGCGCATCCATTTGCCAAGGTCCATCTGACTATTAGTAACTCTCTAGATGCGCTCGGACTCCGCATATTGTGTACTATAGTTACCGTATAGTACTCTGCAAGTCGTCAGGCTGCAAGGTATAGAGAAACTTTTTATTTAAAATATTGGCCAGCGCAAAAATAGGTCGATGTGGTTCGCGCCTAGTACAACTGATCAAATTCATTTTATTCGGACCATAGACATGAGAATTCATCAAAATGCGCAACAACTGTAACTCACGGGGCCTCATGCGGTGATGTTTTGTATGGATGAAAGAAGGCAATCATGATGGTTAGAGAGTAGATGGTCTTATCTTATCATATCTTGACAAGTTTCATTTTCGACAGTCAAACTCAGGCCTCCTCATTTTCCTTCCCATTCCGTGCCCTTCGCACGCGATAGCTTCGGCGGATACAACACGAAATGGCTATCTTACACCTTTGCTGGAATGGTAGCAATTGCTCCTGCCGCCTTCTTGGATCTAGCCGCGGTCCATTCGCCTCGCATTCTGAGTTCTCGGCGTTTTTAAACGAGAACCACAAGCTAGCAATGGTCTTTAGGAAGGTGCCGCGCGATGACCCCTCCCGGAACGAGTTGTTCGACAATTCTGGGCCTCTCGTTCTGACGCCCCAGGATCTCGACCGGCGAAACATCATCTTTGGCGACGATGGGCGCCTCTGGACCATAGACTGGGCATATTATCCGTCGATTTCGAATGTGGCTGGGGAGGGTGTCACCTGGATTGAACTTTGTATGAAAGGATCATAATACATCCGTCGTTTGCCCAGTCACCGAAGCCCACTGGCTACGGCGTTCCTTGGTGTCTTCTCAATGCGCCCACCTCTTCACACTTCACCGGCACAAGTGTACACACGAAGCCTCCTTGCTTCTCGCACTAGGGTCGCACCAATCGCCTTTCCGCTCTTCTCGCCTAGGTCTCGCGCAACCTTCAATCCCCGAGTCACATTACAGCTTCAAACTTCCAACCTTCCCTGGCCATCCGTTCCTTACATCTTAAATAACTTCCACCGTGTCAACTGGGACCCTGCACGCGAAGGCGGCCTCACTCATCGACCGACGCCGGCAGCGCCCGGTTGTTTGTTCGAATTCCGGGGACGGTGGACTCATCATCATCCGTCCTTCCCGCTGATCATAGCACGCGTACTGCTTGTGCCTCGACGCGTGGATTGGGCACCTGCTACAGCAGCCTACAGCCACTCATGGCTGCACATGTGGTACTTACCGTCATCGAGCTTGCCGGTGTCGGTACTGGTTTGATCCAAGCGTCGGGTACTCTGGACGGCAATTGTATTTTTTTGCCAGTCTCTGCAGCACGCTGGTAGCATTGTTTTGAACCGGTTGTTCACCAGCTTTTCCTTCATACACCTGTTCTCGCTGTCTATGTCTATCTCTATATGGCCAGTTGGTGTACTCGGGGCGCACCTACCGTCAGTCGCTCACTGTGAATCAGTGCCAACCCCTCGAATCTCGTTCGATTCGAGGCCTGGGTCGCTCGCATTTTTGTAACTGTCCTCCTATACCCACAACTGAACTAGGCCTCCAAAGCCTGTATCTGAAGAACGTCGTCAGCTGGAGCCTGAGGCTGAGGTCAGTACTTTAGCCAAGTTTCCTCTGTATGTACATGGCCCCATAGTGTATACAGTACAAGCCGCACACCCCACATCCATCCAGGCTCATTCCATATCTTTGCGGAGTTGGGAGGGATGCTCGTTCGAATCGAGCTCTGGGCACTGTGGATGATGGTACAATGCGTCTCTCCCGGCGACCCCATTACGGCGTGATCTAGCTCATTTGACTCGCACTCGTCACTCCGACGTACCTGGATTCACGACCCAAGTTCGGGCAGTGGATATTCACTAGCCACTCTCCAGTTCTTCCTTCATTCACCTGCATGCTAACCACGCTGTCAGCTGGAGGAGATTGACGCCAACGCTCAGAGGTCAGTACTGTCCATGCATGATCCCTAACACCGTATGCCCAGATAGTGTATACAGCACAGGCCACGCACACCCATCTAGAGTCCATACTTGGGAGGGTGGGGGGACTTGTTCAAATCGGGCTCTGGGCATATCCACGTCCATTTACCACTTTGGAGTAGGAGTAACTTCAAATCAACCATTTGAAATACCGTCTACACCACCTCCGGATACGTCGAGACAGCGCGCCCGGCCCGGGTGGGCAGCCTCGAAAGCGAGTTAAGCAGGCTCGAGCACAGTTATAATACCTCTCTGTCCATAAGTACACATGCCCAGATAGTGTACATGTACAGCTCAGTGACAGGCTGCACCATCCAACTTTACTATACTGTAACTCTGAATCTAAGGGCCAGTTCGACTCGAGCTATGATCATTTTTAGCTGTGGTCAATGCTTGAACTACAGTCAAACCTGTCATAACCCATACCCTTTGGTGGAAGCCGAAAAGTATGGGTTATCACAGGGTGTGGGTTCTAGGAGAGGTCGTCGTAGGGTCACTTAGGACGCTTGAAATGGGCTAAAATAGTGTATTTAGGTAGTTCTATGGAAGTAATCAGCAATGGTGTCAATTTCATTGAACGGAATTTGTCTAGGCGGGTTTGGCGGCCGAAAGTTGAAAGAAGAACCTCTACCTTGCGCGCAAATGGGTCATCAAGATCTGTGATATACTTTTGATGCGTCGATGCACAGAGAGTGCCTCGCGACGAGACGGCTCCTCTTCAACTGCATCGTCACCCAAATCGCCGCCGCTGTTGATCTCTCTGAACTGCTGAGCGTTGCGCCTCAGTGACAGCATCCTCATCAACCAGATTGGCTTCATTGTCCAGCCATGTTTCGTCGTAACTAGAGATGGGCTGGCTTTTAGATAGCCTGGACAGAAGATCATCTTTGCGCGACTTTATCTGCGCCAGGCCAGATTTGAGAGCCTCGAGAGGCTTTTTCGCCATCGCGTTTTACGCCTTGTGTTGGGGTCGCGTCAGGGAAAAAATAACTAAATGGGGCAGGTGCTGATGATTTTGGTGCATCTCCAACAATTCTAATGGCCACACGGTGCTCCTCGCAACACCTTCAGTAGCCTACATATGGGTTGTAGTGTATTTTCTGATGTATTTTTGGTGACTTATGGGTTATGAACCTCGTCCTGGTGCTATGAGTTATGGGGTATGGGAGGGTTCCCGCAAACCAAGTCTGTGGAACCCCAAAACCCATGGGTTATCGCAGAATATGGATTTTCAGGACCATGGGATATGACAGGTTTGACTGTACTCCACTGCGCCACCACCGCCGGGCCCACAATGGACTCATCCATGATCGTGCCCAGGTGATCTAGACAGACCCACCCGCATTAATGCGCATGTATTTGAAGCTGAATGTGCACTGCAATATAGTACTACTCCATCGGTACCACCTCCAGCTGAAGTATTCTCCGAGATCCCAGTCGCTTACTTCTCACTTATCCCTTCTCAATGTGTAATTTCGATTTCTTGTCAAAGTAGAGCACTGGGAGGCAACTTGTTGTAGCCCTAGGCGAGGGAAAAATGTGAGAATAGGGAACTGGTACCGAGCATCTCTCTGCCTGGGAGTCGAACCCAGCTTTCGCGCGTAGTACACGGGAAAATGACAGGCGCGTGTACTAACCGATATACTAGCAAAGACGTTATATATATAGACTTGAACTTTGTCGACCTTCACAATATATATGCGCGCTCTTCCGAGAGTCTCATAAGGTACATAAAAAGTGGACTGAAAAACTTGGTATCTCTCTGCCTGGGAGTCGAACCCAGCTTTCGCGCGGAGAACCTTCGAGATGACAGGCGCGTGTACTAACCGATATACTAGCAAAGATGTTGAAGATGGCACACAATTGACGGTTTTCTTTGGTGGTAGTGACTTGTGACACTTGCTTCGTAGCAAAAACGTCAAATGCAAAGGGTGGACTCTCTGCCTGGGAGTCGAACCCAGCTTTCGCGCGTACCAGAAGGCCATGAACATGACAGGCGCGTGTACTAACCGATATACTAGCAAAGATTGTGCAGGAAGGTCTCCGAGGTGAAATTTGACCTTGATATGATCGTAGCATGGCTAGTATCGTAGTATTACTATTCGTCTCTCCGTCGACGATATCACTTGCCCAATGAAATGCCCATACCCCGCGCTCGCTCGCATCGTACATAAAATGAAATCATCTGCGCGGGCAGAAAAGACACCGGAACCAGGCGGTGTGGTCAGGTGCGCCCAGCGCGGCGTTAACATGCTCTTGGGGCGTGAAGCGTGGGGTAGGCGAGGATAGAGCGGAGCTGTCACCTGCAGTCTTAGGCCACGCGGGGATCGTCAATGAAGGTGGATTCACTGTAACAGTAGGAATTTACTCGAGCTTGGGCTCGTCAAGAAGTACGGGAAGCAGCCAGCAAGCGGCATGGAGCATGCGAGTGCGAGATACGCACGCACGCGCGGGCCCAGGACCACTTTAGATCCGCCAGTGGTTTGCGCATGACCCGCCGCTTGGAGGTGAAAAGTTAGCCTGGGAGAGGCGGTCAAGTCCGAGATGGGTATATATAGACTCCGGTGGACTATGTATTGTGCACGTGGGGGCGCACAGAGTGAATGCGGGACGAGGTATGGAAGGCCAGGGAACCTCCGAGAAGTATTTGTGCGTGTTTGCTTAGGAGGGGATATATGCCACGTCTTGCCACGTCGACCCTTACGAAACGCCCACGTACTCGTCCTGCGCTGCGCAGTATCTCTCTTTCCTCAATTACCCACTTGGCTAATACCACAACAATGAACTTTATCGACCCCGCATCGCTCACCGACCCCGAGTCTACATTCATGTCCTCCCCTTCCCCGTCCCCCTCCTGCGACTCCACCCAATCCAACCCCCGCAAACGCCCCCGCACCGATGCATCCTCCGAGGACCGCAAAGAAGCCCGCGCACACCGCAACCGCATCGCCGCCCAAAACTCCCGCGACCGCCGCAAAGCCCAATTCGCTTACCTCGAGCGCCGCGTTGCCGAGCTCGAGGACGAGAACCGCGCTCTCCGCGCCGCCCGCGGTGTCCCACCCCCACTCCCTGTCTCCGTCCCCACCCCCACCGCGGAGGACCAGCATAAACGCGAGAACGAGGAGCTCAGAGACAGGATCAAGACTCTCGAGCGCGGGTGGGACGCCGTTATCAAGGCGCTTGCCGCTCAGGGGCTTCCTCTCGCATCTCCTCAGCCTGCCACTACAACCGTCTCACCACCCCAACCAACCACGAACACGAACGAGTCCACTCGCCACCTAGCACGGGTGGCGACCATCGGTGCCCCACCGATGTCCCTGCAGCGGGTGGACTCGGTCTCGACGTTCTCTTCCCTTCCTCCGTCTCCTCTTCCCTCTCAAGCCCTTCACCCTCAACAACAACCTCTTCTTCCTCACCCTCAACCCCAACAACCCCACACCCGACTCCTACGACTCAAACAGACCCCGACGACGCGACGATGGAAAACCTGTTCATGGAGATCCTCGCGTCGCCCCTGCCTGCCCCCGCGCTCCCGCACACTGCTGCAGCGACCCCCGGGTCTGCCGCGCAAGCCGCGCGGGAGGAGGAGGTGAGCGTGAGCTCGGTGGAGGGTGTCGCAGGAGGTGAGGTCGGGGAGGAGGTGATAGGTAGTGGGGAAGTAATAGGTGAGGGGGTGAATCTCGGGATGATAGGTGGTGTGGAAGGTATGGGCGCATGGGACACCGAGACCCTCGAGATGAACCGTATCCTTGCGTTGCTCGGGGGCAGCACCGGTGGTTATGAGCATGAGACAGAGTTGGAGTGGGAGATGGAGACGGAGCAGGGACTTAGTGAGCTGGAGCTTGAGATGGGATGGGGGACGTTGGGGTTGGGTGTCGGCGTTGGCGTGTTCTGAGTGAGGCGCGATTTCCCCCTTTCCTCTCGACACGCACACATAGACTTCGCCGTCGACCACCTGGCATCGACCGACACCTTCGTATACCCCCGACCCGCCTCGTCAACCATTCAACAAAAGGCCCTTCGGCAGCGCCAGCGCTTTGTATTCATCTCTCGTCAACTGTATCATCACGCACCACCGTCTTCTCTCATATCATCTTGAACTCTCGTCTCGTCTCTCGACATACTTATTTCCCCTATTTATCTCTCCCCTTTCTTTTCCTCTCTCTCTCTCATCAATTTTTTTTAATATCACACGTGTCATCGAGCAGGCATTACCCTCCTCCTTTCACCTTACCTTCCTCTTTACCTACGATACTTACCTACCACCTATCCCCCTCACCCCAACCCTACCCCATCCACCCCGACATCCCACGGCCCACGCCCGCCCGCCGCCGCACGCGCACATGTGAATTCTCTGCTCCTCTTCGGGGTTTTGAGTAGAGGGCGCTTGTTATGCGCTGCGCGGCTTGGTTGGTTTTGGTCGTTGTTCATGTCGTCGTCATTGGTGTTCGTAGTGGATTCTGGTGGGGGGACGGTTCTACAAACTACGTTACGTGGTTTTTGGTTTTAACTGGTACTTGGGGATACATAGGGAAAGGGAAGAGAGGAAATGTTATGTGATTTTGGCCTGTGCATTCGTGAGTGAGACTTCGAACAAGATAATATCCGTGGCAGGCAGCTTGGCAAGCTAAAAGTGGGTGCGGGTGCAGTGCTTACTATGAGGACAATACAACTGGATTATTCAAGTTCTTTGCTAGTATATCGGTTAGTACACGCGCCTGTCATCACAAGACTTGACCACTGTAGGTCGCGCGAAAGCTGGGTTCGACTCCCAGGCAGAGAGATATTATCCGCTCCTTCTCTTTTTTGCTTTTTTTGGGGGGCCCTTCCTTCGCCCACTTCTTGTACTACGGAGTCCCAATATTAATGACAGAGTCCGAGTCTGAGTAGACTTCAGCGTCTTTGCTAGTATATCGGTTAGTACACGCGCCTGTCATTGGCACATTGGTACATTGGTACGCGCGAAAGCTGGGTTCGACTCCCAGGCAGAGAGGTTCATTTAACATTAAACTACTTCGTATTGTTTTTTTGGCACTGAGCAGCGGCATTTGAAAATACACATTATCAGCTTAAATTCAAAATTACCTCGTTCCGACAGGACGAGTTCCATTGGCAATAGCACTTGCCATTGTGGCTCACTGGACCACTGGGCTACATTCAGCATCTTTGCTAGTATATCGGTTAGTACACGCGCCTGTCATTGGGACATTGGTACGCGCGAAAGCTGGGTTCGACTCCCAGGCAGAGAGATGATGGATGACCTTTCGGTTCACACTTTTTTATCACTGGTCGTGGCGTGCGGACAAGCATGGAGAAGTCACACTTGTGAGTGTCTTTGCTAGTATATCGGTTAGTACACGCGCCTGTCATGGATCAATTGCACAGAGATGAGTCATGCATGACCTTTCATTGGCTGATCGTCGACTCACTTTTGATGGTACGTTTGTTTCAAATTTCGACCAACTTTTGGCTCATTCAATTGAACCTCGTGAACACAGAGATACCAGAGTTTTCGGCGGGCGCGTAGACTCGAACCAGTCCCTATTGAAGTCGCGGAGGTTGATGGCAGTCGATCAACGCAGCCGCGCAATAGGTGTGATCAAAAGACTGTCTTTGATCTTGAGTATAATCACTACCCAGGGATTGGTTCAAGTCTAGCGGGCGCGATTCCAGATTTTGATATCGTTCTTCAATTGCTTTGCCGTGGCGCGTGCAACCTGACCTCTTTTTTCGAGGACTGTCGAGATCCTGTTCGGCCGTCGGCTCACCTTGACCTACATGCGGATATCTACACCGGATGGCAGCGTCAACTTTGAACTTGTGATCAGCATACCCACATCGACATCAATGTCATATGCATTCTTCCAGTGCGCCGCGAGGTTTGTACTCCAGATGCGTAGACCCGCTTCACACATGCCACTTTTCGGACCAACTAATTAATATTGCAGCTCACCTTCGTTCGGAATCAATCAGCGCTAATCTTTTGCCAGCCTCCTCGGGATCACATATACTTACCTATCTGATCATATGTTCACTTGCTCCGAGTCCTGGCTTGGTAGTACGATATGCTCTGGATATTGACGACACCCAACTGGGCTTGTGACTTGGAAAGACACCAGGACTACCGCTGTTTTCTTTGGATTCCAGATGCAAAGGCTGCTATTCCGACGACGATTGTACAGAGGAGAGCATTGACTGCTTCTACAACGAGTGCTGTACCGAAATTTATCCGGCATACTGTTATCCTGGATTCCTTGGCTTCGTCTTTTACGCTGGTTTGATGAGCACGACGCGTTAACTGCGCTCGGGTTGCACTTGTGCGTCCAGATGAATGTCATGAACATGTGGAGTGTGAGGAACCACTGGTCAGCTGGACGTTAATTGTGTCGATCTCGAGATGGGGTAACTTTTACCGTACCTATAAAGTGAGTCTATTTCAATTAGCATATGTTGTATCAATTCCCTCGAGCAGTCCCTTGTCCAGAGGTATCATGAAAACTGCGTCTGCTATTTCGCTTCTGTCCCTCGCTGGTTCAGCGTTTGCTGCAACCTATCCCCTCACCAGCAACATCGTCGGCCCCGGCTTCTACGATGCATTCGACTTTCAGGCCATCGAAGACCCTACGGAGGGCCGAGTGTGAGTGTTTTGAATTGTATCGATATTGCCTCCAGCCGTTAACTCGATCGTTCGAACAGAAATTATGTCAACCGCGCAACCGCTCAGGCGCAAAATTTGACCTACGCCTCGCGGGACACGTTCATCCTTCGCACCGATAGCAAAACCGTTCTGCGTCCTGACGGTCCGGGAAGGAACTCAGTCAGAATCAGGACCAAAAAGGTCTACAAGACCCATGTCGCGGTGTACGTTTCTTAACTTGTTTCAATGTCGCCGTAACACTAATCATTGATACAGCTTCGATGTCCGCCACATTCCCCAGGGATGTGGAACGTGGCCCGCTATATGGGAGACGAACGAGGCCGTCTGGCCCAACGGCGGCGAGACTGATATTCTCGAAGGCGTGAACGACCAGGGTCCAAACTCGGTCTCCCTCCACACCGGCCCGGGATGCGTTATGCCTGCTACGCGCCTCCAGACTGGGTACGCAACTTTGGTTTCGAAGTTGGTTATATGTCTTTGATAATCAAGTACATGTTTTCAGCACTTCTCTTCAACTCAACTGCGATGCCAACGCCAACGACAATTCGGGGTGTGGCGTTAAGCTCAATACCGACTTGAGCTACGGCCCACAGTTCAACGCTGCCGGAGGAGGCTGGTATGCTACTGAGAGAACACCCAACTTCATCAAGGTGTGGTTCTGGAGCAGGAATGACCCCACTGTTCCCGCGGACGTCAAGAAGGGAGGTGCCGCGACGGTCAACACCGACAAATGGGTATGAGAATTGTTTCCTCTAAATTCAAATCGTAGTTGCTAATCAAGCCGTGATATAGGGAACTCCTTCCGCCTTCTTCCCCAACACCAGCTGCAACTTCAAGAAGCACTTCAATGAGCACAACATCATCATCAACCTGACGCTCTGTACGACTTTTTCTGCAGATCCTCGCGCGTCTCTACTTACCTTTCGATCTTCCAAATAGGCGGTGATTGGGCTGGCAACGAATATGTGTACCCCTCTACCTGTCCGTTAACTTGCGTCGGTGAGTTTAGTTTTGCGCAATGGTGCTATGCTATTACTGACGCCTCTCTGTAGACCATGTGAACAGCAACCCGGCGGCGTTCAAAGACGCTTACTTCGACATTGCTGCGGTCAGGATCTACTCTTGATTAGGCCCTCCTCCGGGTCGTCAACAAAATATGCGCGCAAGAGAACGCGATGTAACTGAACTAGTATGCAAAAGATGTACAACTTGAAGGCTCCTCAGAGTTTGCTTTTTACGGCACCTGATCTACGCTTAAGTATACCGGATGCCTCAATACCCCAGCTGTAATCGGCCATCGCTATGCTCAAAGACCTGGCCTCCTCATCAACGGTGTTGACGCGAGTAAGGAATGACTGCATTTCAGTCGTAGTCAAGTCCTAGGCAAAAGGCAAAGAGAATGACAAGCACGTACGCGGTATGTGGCCGAAGTAGTGGCACCGCGAGATTCCGTATCGAGCGACTTGATGCTCTCGTGGGTCTTATGCGAATGTCAGTGCCATGTGGTTCATATAAACTGATAGAAAATACCACCTCAACCCAGGTTGATGCGAACCGTTGATACCGAGCTGGCGACTTCTGGGAAAACATGACCGACCTTGAGCGCCTCGGCGACTTGGACGAAAGGTACCACAGGAGGCATGCCAGGAATTTGCTTCAGAGCCTGTTGAAACCTCATCTTGAGTAAGTACTCGTCCATGGCCGCTCGAGAAGTATCTTCCACACTGACCTACCTTTGACTGCGACCTTGGGGAATTCAATGAGTGGTGACGAGGTCGAGCTCTAGTACGAGCTTACCTAGTTTTCGCTTCTAACCTAACCATATTGCGGCGCAAATCGCACAGCTTTGTAGTGCACGCCTCGGCCTCCGTCTCCACAAATTGGAAGAATTGAGTTCTGAATTGCTCTACCTTGCATTTCCGTGCGATGGACTGTTCGTCTCGACCAAGGCTCTCAGCTCCTTGCGGCGTGGGTCCTGAAAGTCAGTCACATTCAGTGTGGATTGTGGATTGTAATGAACGGCCTCAATAAGATATGTCCACTGTTCAGTACCTGAGCGAATCTTGAAAGCAGTACTTTATTTCGTTCTTGTTGACTACCAAAGGACCAAAAGGAGTCATCTGGTTCGAGTTTGTTCTCGCATTTGTCATTCCGGTATGACATTCATTAAGGGAAGCACTGTTCAACGAACCAGTGAGATACCGCACTCCAGATGCAGTGACAGTGGTCGCTGTCGTTAGTGAATCGAAATAGTTCTATTCAAGGCAGTAAGCACCGAATCAGCCTCAAAGTGAATCGTACACGACCTACAGCAGTTAATGCATCCCAGTACAGCTTCCACTCCCCATGCGGAAGGCCAGCATCAAGGTCTGCAAACGTTGTAGCGATAGCGGCTAGCGCATCGTATATGCCAGCAACATCGTGGGCGAGCGTCGCTGACAAGTTCGTGGCAATTTCACACTTGTCCATCTGAGCCACGTACGCCTGCATTTGCAACTTTAAGCTGTCTGCCATTTCCTTCGTCAAACGGACGGCACCTTTCAGCTTAATTGCCTGTTGGATCATCGTCAGTCATATAGTCTTCGCTCGACGCTTATTACCAACAGCCTGAGGGGTATAATCCTGGTGGTGGTAGAGATGATAGCTTTCAATCCAGACTGAATTTTGGCAGTATCGTCGCTGATCTGGCGAGAACGTCGATGAAAAGACATGGCATGAATCACCAAAGACGGCGTACCTAGGACCAAATTGGTCGAGGCGGTTGCATGTTTCGTCGACGTCGACCGTTTGACTGTCAGTTGTTAGAGATAACCGTCACTGCATGTGATATTGGATCTGTCCTGCGATTTTCGTCTATCGAAGGACTGGTCTTTTGAATTTCATTTGGGTCAATGGTCCCAAAAGCGTGTCGAGTGCACTGACCTGAGTAGCGTACTGTCTGATAGTCAAAAGAGTCTTCTGGTAATCTTTTTCTGAAGATACGTCGCTAACTTGTGGGTATATTGAGTCAAGTAGCTGTAGCTCTAATATGAGATAGAGATATACATAAGTTGAGCATAATTTTGAGAGTAGAAGACGCCAACCTTCATGAGGCTGCACGATCAACGCTCTCTTAGACGGGCTCGAATGAAGAGCTCTCCAGAGGCGCGGGAGTAATGGAATTTACCTTGCGATATTCTGCTCAGGCTGGACGTGCTTTTCGCGACGCTGACTGAGCCCCGAGGTCACCAGTGGCGTTCACAGTTTCCAGTGGAAGCATAACACGGTTAAATGCCTCATCAATTTTGCGCGCGCTTGATCCCAGAATCCGCCCGCTTCCAACCTTATAAAATTTCGACCGTAAGTAACAATGACCGTATCCATTATCATTTTTCTGTCCTCAGAGCACTGTCCTGGCCACAGAGAGATGGGGTATATCCCTAATAGTGGTTTTCCTGCTGTCGAGCGTGAAAGACATCGACTGGAAACTTTTAACGTCTTTGCTAGTAGTACACGCGCCTGTCATAAAACCATGGTCCGTCTCGTTATACTTACGCACGAAAGTTCAACTCCCAGGCTGAGAGTGTCGCCGTGGTCTCCTGTTTTTCCACCCTGTAGAGTACTGGAGGCTCGAATCACCATGACTCAAGCATGTTACGTGTGTCTTTGCTAGTATATCGGTTAGTACACGCGCCTGTCATCATGCCTTTGGAGTTTTGCACGCGCGAAAGCTGGGTTCGACTCCCAGGCAGAGAGTGTTGCACGGCTGACAATGCATTTTTCGAATTCCTTCCTTTCCTGGCCCGGATGCAGTCTCGATGAGGTACTGCCTGCATGGGCTTGAGATTCAGAATGAATGATGAACATCCATCAGCCTGAGCGAGAAAGAGCCCGAGCTTGGACTCGGACTTGGGCGTTGCCAGTTTCTGCTCTACGCCACAATGGCAGGTTGCTCGCTCCAAGTACCTGGCAGGAAAATCAATGAAATTCGCACCGGCCAGTGAGCTCAGCTGCGGTCTCGCAGCGTGCCATGTACCGACGATTTGGAGTTCCCCAGCGTCTGTTGCGTATCAAATTTGCTTACTTCTTTTCCAGGAAGGGTCGTGCTTAAGACAACCAGCGGGTGAGTTGGTCTTCGGGGTCGCTGGTGTTCTGGGTGAGCTCAGTCTTCAGCCAAAGCTCCCGCATTAAAAGGAAAATTGGTTTCAGAAGGGTAGAAATACATAGCACAAGCCACGACGATGGGGTAGGTAACGGTCAAGTGTCAAGTGGTGCGTGTGCTCATGCAGACTTCATCTCGGTGTCCTCGTCCTTCTTCGTGAGGCCCTCCGCGAGGAGGAGCGCGTCGATCTCGGCGGGCCTGTAGATTTTCGCCTTGGGCTGCTTGGTGACGGGGTCGATGGTGAGGACTGCGAATTCCACTGTGCGGTGCAAGAGGCGGGGCGTTAGTATTGGGTGGACCAGGGGAAGGGCGGGGGGCATCAAAAAGAACACAAGCGGGTAGAAGTAGAAGCGGGGGTCTATGGGTACAAGACGGGGAAGGCGATGGACGTAATGAAAGGATGCACGGATGGAATCTGGATGGACGGGGATTGAAAGAAGACGACGAGACTCACGTTTTTCGCTCCCAAGTGTCGTGCTATCCATCGTCTTGCTCATCGTCCTAAGAACAAGCCCAATCGCATCCTTCACCTCGATGTCATCCTTATACTCCTGCTTGAGCAGGCTCTGCGCCGTGCCGTTGTTCGCACCGATACACGTCGCCTTCCACCCGGAGTAGTTCCCCGACGGGTCCGAGTGGTACAGCTGGAAGTGGTAGTGCGGGTCGTACCCGGCGTAGAGGAGGGAGACGCCGAACGGGCGTAAACCTATCGGCAAACGTCAATTGAAGGGATGCGCTGATGAATGGGGGGTGGTAGTATACCTCCGTACTGTGTATACCCCTGCTTCATATCGCACAGCCGCTGTGCGAGCAGCTCGACGGGGATGTCTTCGTTGTATTGGAGTAGATGCTGCTGCGCTGCTGTCCGCGCATAGTTGACAAGGGAGTTTGCGTCTGCCGTCAGTCCCGCAACACCGCCTATCACGTTTCTGGATGCAGAGATAGCAAAGAAGGAGGCGAAGAAAAGAAAACGGTTAGTAGGAGGGAACTTCTCGCCTGAAGGATGTAGAGGAGAGGTGGGGAGGTGAACACGCACGAGTTGAGCAGATATATCTTTTCGCCACTACCACCGTACCCTCCCTCCTTCGCGCCTGAGAGATCGAGAAGCTTGCCAGTGACCTTTTTCTCAGCCGCTAGCACAACGCCGTCCTTCGCTAGGACACCGAGCACGGTACCGGCGTGCGAGATTGCCTCCATAGCATACTCGACTGTGTTTGGCTTTGATGAGTATCTGACGGTCGGGTTTCGATGCAGATGGCTTTACTGACTCTGATATAGCCGACCTAGGATAAAATAAATGTGTCAGAGGTGATATTTGAAGAAAGCGAGAGGCAATGGCGCACCTTCCGGCGAAAAGATGGTTGTGCGACCTGTTACGATTTAGGTTGTCATTGTACTGATTCCGGCCCACTGCTGGACTCACTGTCATAACGTCTTGCCTAGTGGTCCCGATCTTAATTAGCGAGGAGATACAGATAAACAGCAGTAGACTTGACTTGCCATGGTAGAGGTGGAGGAGGTGAAAGGTGGAGATCAGGCGCAGGTGACTGACGCGTTCACAAGCATACGCGTCGCTCGCCCAATTCGGATACTGCCGAAAACAACATAAATTACAATTATATTTTAGAGTTGACCACCGTCCTCAAGCCAACTTTGTAGCCCAATATCCTACTCAATCCCTCAACCGCCTTGCGCAGCTGCTCCTCGGTGCTATCCTCCACGGCGACAACGACCACGCCTTCCTCGCCCACCGGGCTCTCCAGGGTATTTAGCTGGCTATCCAGCATGGACGCCTTCATAAAGTGCCCAGCCCGCTTCTCCATGCGCTCAAGCAGCACCTGCCTGGGCCCCTCAATGAACAAAAAATACGTCGGTAGCTCTCTCGGGGTCGAACTCGAGCCCTCAACTGCCTTCTGGCCTCGCAGGATCTCCCGGTAGTACCTCTTTAGTGCAGAGCTGCTTATCACGACGCCCGGCCGTTTCTTCTCCTTTTGTTCATCAGCGCCATTTCCTGTAGCTGCTGTGCGCGACGTTGTGTCGTTCGAGGGCGAAGAGGAGTCACCGTCGAGGGCAATGCGCTCTGCGGTGGTGCGGATGAGCGCAAGCCACGGCTCGCGGTCCGCATCTGTCAGTGGCGTTCCGGAAGCCATCTTGGCGACGTTTGTCGCGGGGTGGAGGTCGTCGCCTTCGACGTAGGGGAATCCCAGCGCGTCTGCGAGTGCATTGCCAAGCGTCGATTTACCCGTGCCCGAGACGCCCTGTTTTGAGAAAATCAGTATAGATCCGGTATACAGAGGGGATCAGAGTATATGAGTGCAAGCAAGTGTATAGCACACGCAGCACAGTGTGCGCCGTATAACGCGCGCTGCGAGAGGTGACTTGTAAGATTTACTGACCATCACGACGATGAAGATGGGCTGATCGTGCACTGATCCGTTGGTGGGCGGCATACTGTGGGATATGGGGGTACGGGTGCGGGGTTGGAACGGGGGCTCTATAAACAAGAGGGATGGAAAGAGAGGAGAGAGCAGCGACTTCAGGGAATTTGTCGGGGAGGAAATCCGGAGTCGGGACCCTCGGTCCGAGCCTTCCCCACCTCGGCCCTCGGTCCGATCCAATATGGTGAACGTTATGGTGAAGGGCGGGTACGTTTAAATCCTCAGTCGTGCTACACGTTGCATTCGTGCTGATACTGGTGTGTTTTGTGCTT